TGTCTTTTCCTGCTCTGCATAACCCTCCGGAAATGAGAGACAATGTTATTGTTCATCAGATTCAGCACTCTGTTTTCGTTACAGTTATGTTTGGGTGGTGCTTCTGGTCACCTTCATTACCGCTCTGCACTTTCTTTTTAACAACATACTTGCTCTGCGCATTCTTGTCACCTTCATTACCGCTCTGCATGTTCTGGTCACCATTACCGCTCTGCACTTTCTAGTCACCTTCATTACCACTCTGCACGTTCTGGTCACCTTCATTACCACTTTGCACGTTCTGGTCACCTTCATTACCGCTCTTCACGTTCTGGTCACCTTCATTACCGCTCTTCACTTTCTAGTCACCTTCATTACCGCTCTGCACATTCTGGTCGCCTTCATTACCGCTCTGCACGTTCTGGTCGCCTTCATTACCGCTCTGCACGTTCTGATCGCCTTCATTACCGCTCTGCACGTTCTGGTCGCCTTCATTACCGCTCTGCACGTTCTGGTCGCCTTCATTACCACTCTGCACGTTCTGGTCGCCTTCATTACCACTCTGCACGTTCTGGTCACCTTCATTACCGCTCTGCACTTTCTAGTCACCTTCATTACCGCTCTGCACGTTCTGGTCGCCTTCATTACCGCACTGCACATTCTGATCACCTTCATTACCGCTCTGCACGTTCTGGTCGCCTTCATTACCACTCTGCATGTTCTGGTCGCCTTCATTACCACTCTGCACGTTCTGGTCACCTTCATTACCACTCTGCATGTTCTGATCGCCTTCATTACCACTCTGCACGTTTTGGTCATCTTCATTACTGCTCTGCACGTTTTGGTCACCTTCATTACCGCTCTGCACTCTCTTTTCAACAACATGCTTGCTCTGCACATTCTTGTCACCTTCATTACCGCTCCGCACTTTCTTCTTACCACTATGCTTTTCTGAAGTTTCTTTGGAGCCATACTGAATGTCCGATACAGTGTGTGCTAAAAAGCACACCAAAAAGCTTAACAGCAAGTGTGCACAGGGATGTATAGTACTGTACAGTATGTGCTAAAAAGCACACCAAAAAGCTTCTCAGTACTGTGTCTTCACAGTACACTTTCACTGTCTGTCTGTGACCACGATCTCGCCTAGAGGAAGTCATGACCACGTGCCAGAGCAGGGAAGATGTCCACGGCTCATGTTCGTCAACCGAAGCAGATTTTGCGAACCGAAGCAAATTTTTGCGAACTCTTCTGTTCGCAAACCAAGCTGTTTGTGAACAGAACCGTTCGTGAACCCGAGGTATCACTGTACTTCAAAAACATAATTTGCTTTTATAGCAGTTCTAAAGGGTGAAGGTTTTTACCTTCATGCAGTTTATGCATGAAACAAAAAACCTTTGGCATGCAGCTACCCCTCAGCCTCCCTAAAACTTACCTGAGCCTGATTGGGATCCAGCACTGTGCATGAGAGCCTCAGCTCTCCCAGATCTCTCCATCCTTGTTGGCTAAGACACAGTAACAGGAGCCATTGCCCATTGTCAATCACAGCCAGTGAGGAAGGAGCAGGGGGCAAGGCCGACCTGGACTCTATATGTCTTATGAATATATAGGTCCGGCTCAGGAGTGAGTGAAAACAGGAGTGCCCCCAAAATAAGCAGCTTGCTCTGGGGGCACTCAGCAGGGGGGAGGGGCCATAATTGTGGGCAGGGGACCCAAGAAGAGGAGGATCGGGGCTGCTCTGTGCAAAATCATTACCCAAAGCAGGTAAGTATAACATGTTTGTTATTTTAATAAAAATAAAAAAAACAAGCTTTACAACCACTTTAACATTGATGCTGGAATGAATGGGCTTTTCCAAATGAAAACCACATCCATTTTTAGATATTGGTTTGTTCAAGAAAAAATTTAAATACCGCTCCTTCAAACTTTCTTGTCACTGTGTGGTTAACCGTTTTCCCGCCGCCCTATAGCAGATATACTGCTACAGGGCAGCAGGGGCGCACAAAATCACGTGTATATATACGTGATTTTGCATTTCTGGGAAGTTGGCGTGCGCGCACCCTACCCGTGCCGCCATTTGCGGCCGCGGCTGTCAATCACTGGGTCCCGAGCATCTCTGATCTCCGTTTGTTTACTAACAGTCCTCCTCTCTGTCAGCTCAGGCACACTGCTGTGGATGGCTGTGCACACAGTGAAGCACACAGACACCGCCCCCCAGTAAAACACTCCCTGCACACAGTTAACTCTTTGATTGCCCCTCATGTTAACCCCTTCCTGCCAAATGCCCTTATACAGTGTCAGTGCTTTTTTTTTTTAGCACTGATCACTGTATTGGTGTCACTGGGGATGTCAGTGACACTAAGTCAGTTCCTCCCAGTGTCAGAATGTCCACTGCAGTCCCCGCTATAAGTTGCTGATTGCCGCCATTACTAGTAAAAAAAAAAATTCCAGTATCTATACCGCCATTTGTAAATGCTATAACTTTCATGTAAACCAATTAATTTACACGGATTGGGACTTTTGTTCACAAAGACATGGAGCAGAATACATTTTAGCCTACATTTATGAAGAAATTAGATTTTTTAAAAAATTTTTACTGGACATGTTTAATAGCAAAAAGTCAAAAATATTGTTTTTTTCTCAAAATTGTTGGGGTTTTTTTTGTTTATGACGCAAAAAAAATAAAAAATGCAGAGAAAGCTCGATTTGTGGGAAAAAAAGGACGTAAATTTCATTTGGGTGCAGCGTTGCATGACCATGCAATTGTCAGTTAAAGTAACGCAGTGCCGTATAGCAAAAAATGGCCTGGTCAGGAAGAGGGGTAAATCCTCAGGAGGGCAAGTGGTTAAAAACAAATGTCGATTTTATCCCCCTAACTAATAAAAAAATGTAAAAATTGTTCTTAAAATTAAACATTTGAAATGGAATTCTACTATTAGTCTAATAAATACAGTGAAGCTGTCTTCACTTCAGTCATCCGATCATATACAAGAGAAATCCTGTCTTTTTGTTGAAGTTGAACGCTATGATAGAAAAAAAAGAAACCTTTGCTGTGCCCTGCCCGTACTGCAAGCTAAATGCTTGCTTAGTCCAGGGGAAGAGGAATCAACACAAACCCTTACTTCATTCCTTGCTATTTCAGCAGACGGCACTCTCCTCTGCTCTCTCAGGATGTTTCCTGAGTCCTACTGTCCCCTAACAGCTTGTAGATCGCCTAACATACTAGTACAGCGGCATAGTTGCGTGATCTGCACCCAGGCAGGGAGTGCACACCCGCCGACCTGGCTGTGCTTTGATTAGTTACACCACAAGCCAATCAGTGGGTCTCAGCCAATGATTGACCACCGCGATCCACTGATCGGCTCATTGATTCACGGAACAGAGCTCTGTGATTGTAAAAAATGCAGAGCTCTGTTCACTTACACAGGATCTTGCTGTTTTTTTTATTCTGCTGCTAAGCAGGGGAAAAAACCAACAAGATCCTTAGTAAAAGCATCACATATCACACACATTACACATAGTTTGGCACACATTTAACCCCTTGATCACCCTAGATGTTAACCCCTTCCTACCCAGTGACATTATTATAGTCACAGTGCATATTATTAGCACTGATCACAGTATTAATGTCACTGGTGATGCCCATACCATCCCCCAGCGCTGGCCAAAAGTATACCATTTGCACAGTATATTTGCCTACAGCGAAATTGCACACATATAGAGGATTTCAAAAATCAAACTATTCTTTTACTTCAATGTCTAGTTTCAAGTGGCTACAGCAAAACCCTTTTACATAAGGCCTACAATAAAGCATTGGCAAAGGATAGGACATCATGATTTTTATTATACAGGATTATATTCTACATCTAAATCTGAGGCTAAACATCAAACAGTAAGATTTATAACACAGTATTCGATACAACATCAGGAAATACGTAATATGGTACAACATCACTGGCATCTCCTGCAGGAGGATGCCATACTAAATAAATATATTAAGGATTATCCTGAGTTAGTGTTTCGAAAAGCAGTCTCTATTAAAGACAAATTAACATCGAGTCACTATGTACCTAAAACTAATCTATCTACACTCCCCAGTGGTATCTTTACCTGTGGCAGGTGTACTTACTGTCCATAGGTGCAGACTGGCCGACAATATATTTTACCTAATAGGGAGTTTTATCCCCAAATTTCATGCCAATTTTACCACTCAGGGAGTAGTATACCTTATGACATGCACTTGTGGAGCCTATTGTCAGGAATGGACTGGCCAGCAATGGTGGGACTCACCTGCCTTTTGATCTGCAGTACCAGGGCTGGCCAGCGGATGCTCCCAGCAATCAGAGACTCAACTTTGCAGCCAGCTAACACCTGGAACTGATTATGCTGGGGTATTTAAGGGATGGCCAGACCCACAGACTCTGCCTTGGTGTTGTGTTTGTCCTGGGCCCTGTATCCTGTTTCTGTCCTGCATCCTGTTTCTGAACCGCTGCTGACTTCTCCTGCTCTGATCCCGGCTTGCTCCTGACCATCCCTCTGCCTGACCCTCTGTACCACGCTGCTTGCTACCTGTTCTGATCCCTGGCTTGTGACCCTGACCATCCCTCTGCCTGACCCTCTGTACCACGCTGCTTGCTACCTGTTCTGATCCCTGGCTTGTGACCCTCCCTCTGCCTGACCCTCTGTACTACGCTGCTTGCTACCTGCTGAACCTGGCCTGTGACCCCGACCAATCTCCGCTTGCTCCCCCTGTACCTACCTGCCCTATTGATATTGACCCTGCCTGGTGGTACAGGCGCTCCATCTGGTTTGGGGTTGCCTGGTATTGCGCCCGCCGCTCCGCCTGATTGGGCCCGAGATGATGTCGCTCCATCTGGGGGTCCCCGTCAGCCCGCCGCTCCGTCACACCTGGGGCCCGAGACCAAGTCGCTCCATCTGGGGGTGCCAGCGCCCGCCTCTTGGCCGATCTGGATGATGTGTATTTTATATCTGATGAGGGCCCGAGACCTGTCGCTCCATCTGGGGGTCCGGCGCCCGCCGTATACGGCCGCCCTAGTAGGGGGCCAGGTGCCTGCCACCCCGCCCGGGGGCCCGGTGCCTGCCGCTCCCCTGGTAGCCCGATGTGCCTCTGCAGACCGGAGTCCTGCCCGATGTGCCTCTGCCCGGAGTCCTGCCCGATGTGCCTCTGCCCGGAGTCCTGCCCGATGTATAAACGCAGTGCTCATTGACCAGACCGGTAAGTCAGCTGCCCGATGTGCCTTCTGCCCGCCTCAGTCCTGCCCGATGTGCCTCTGCCCGGTGTGCCTCTGCCCGGAGTCCAGCCCGATGTGCCTCTGCCCGGAGTCCAGTTCCCCGATGTGCCTCTGCCCGGAGTCCAGCCCCTGATGTGCCTCTGCCCGGAGTCCAGCCTGATGTGCCTCTGCCCGGAGTGCTCCAGCCCGATGAAAATTCTTTGCCTCTGCCCGGAGTCCAGCCCGATGTGCCTTCCTGACTCGATGTGCCTCTGCCCGGAGTCCAGCCCGATGTGCCTCTGCCCGGAGTCCAGCCCGATGTGCCTCTGCCCGGAGTCCAGCCCGATGTGCCGCTGCAGCCGGTGTGCCTCTGCCCGATGTGCCTCTCCGGAGTGCCAGCCCGATGTGCCTCTGCCCGGAGTCCAGCCCGATGTGCCTCTGCCTGAAGGAGTCCAGCCCGATGTGCCTCTGCCCGGAGTCCAGCCCGATGTGCCTCTGCCCAGAGTCCAGCCCGATGTGCCTCGATGCCCGGTGTGCCTCTGATCCGGGTCCAGCCCGATGTCCTCCCAGCAATCAGAGACTCAACTTTGCAGCCGGTGCCCTAACACCTGGAACTGATTATGCTGGGGTATTTAAGGGATGGCCAGACCCACAGACTCTGCCTGGTGGTGTTGTGTTTGTCCTGGGCCCTGTATCCTGTGTTTCTGTCCTGCATCCTGTTTCTGAACTCGCTGCTGACTTCTCCTGCTCTGATCCCGGCTCGCTCCTGACCATCCCTCTGCCTGACCCTCTGTACCACGCTGCTTGCCTACCTGTTCTGATCCCTGGCTTGTGACCCAGACGGCTCGGTGACCATCCCTCTGCCTGACCCTCTGTACCACGCTGCTTGCTACCTGTTCTGATCCCTGGCTTGTGACCCTGCCCCTCTGCCTGACCCTCTGTACTACGCTGCTTGCTACCTGCTGAACCTGGCCTGTGCCCCCCGACCAATCTGCCCGCTTGCTCCCCCTGTACCTACCTGCCCTTATTGATATTGACCCGGCCTGGTGGTACGAGGCGCTCCATCTGGGGGTCCGGCGCCCGCCGCTCCGCCTGAGGGCCCGAGACCTGTCGCTCCATCTGGGGGTCCGGCGCCCGCCTCTCCGCCTGAGGGCCCGAGACCTGTCGCTCCATCTGGGGGTCCGGCGCCCGCCGCCCCGCCCGGGGGCCCGGTGCCTGCCGCCCCGCCCTGGGGCCCGGTGCCCTGCCGCTCCTCCTGGTAGCCCGATGTGCCTCTGCCTGGAGTCCTGCCCGATGGGGCCCCGGTGCCCTGCCGCTCCTCCTGCCCGATGTGCCTCTGCCCGGAGTCCTGCCCGATGTGCCTCTGCCCGGAGTCCTGCCCGATGTGCCTCTGCCCGGAGTCCTGCCCGATGTGCCTCTGCCCGGGTCCAGCCCGATGTGCCTCTGCCCGGAGTCCAGCCCGATGTGCCTCTGCCCGGAGTCCAGCCCGATGTGCCTCTGCCCGGAGTCCAGCCCGATGTGCCTCTGCCCGGAGTCCAGCCCGATGTGCCTCTGCCCGATGTGCCTCTGCCCGGAGTCCAGCCCGATGTGCCTCTGCCCGGAGTCCAGCCCGATGTGCCTCTGCCCGATGTGCCTCTGCCCGATGTGCCCTGCCCGGTGTGCCTCTGCCCGATGTGCCTCTGCCCGGAGTCCAGCCCGATGTGCCTCTGCCCGGTGTGTCCTCCCGATGTGCCTCTGCCCGGAGTCCAGCCCGATGTGCCTCTGCCCGGAGTCCAGCCCGATGTGCCTCTGCCCGGAGTCCAGCCCGATGTGCCTCTGCCCGGAGTCCAGCCCGATGTGCCTCTGCCCGGAGTCCAGCCCGATGTGCCTCTGCCCGGAGTCCAGCCCGGTGTGCCTCTGCCCGGAGTCCAGCCCGGTGTGCCTCTGCCCGGAGTCCAGCCCGATGTGCCTCTGCCCGGTGTGCCTCTGCCCGGAGTCCAGCCCGGTGTGCCTCTGCCCGGTGTGCCTCTGCCCGAGTCCAGCCCGGTGTGCCTCTGCCCGGAGTCCTGCCCGGTGTGCCAGTCTTTGATATCCCGCCAGTTACCAGACCCGGGCGGTGGAACATTTTTCCCAGCTGGGACTGTTTGGAGCGTCCTGAGGCCGCTCCTTGAGGGGGGGGGGGGGTACTGTCAGGAATGGACTGGCCAGCAATGGTGGGACTCACCTGCCTTTTGATCTGCAGTACCAGGGCTGGCCAGCGGATGCTCCCAGCAATCAGAGACTCAACTTTGCAGCCAGCTAACACCTGGAACTGATTATGCTGGGGTATTTAAGGGATGGCCAGACCCACAGACTCTGCCTTGGTGTTGTGTTTGTCCTGGGCCCTGTATCCTGTTTCTGTCCTGCATCCTGTTTCTGAACCGCTGCTGACTTCTCCTGCTCTGATCCCGGCTCGCTCCTGACCATCCCTCTGCCTGACCCTCTGTACCACGCTGCTTGCTACCTGTTCTGATCCCTGGCTTGTGACCCTGACCATCCCTCTGCCTGACCCTCTGTACCACGCTGCTTGCTACCTGTTCTGATCCCTGGCTTGTGACCCTCCCTCTGCCTGACCCTCTGTACTACGCTGCTTGCTACCTGCTGAACCTGGCCTGTGACTCCGACCAATCTCCGCTTGCTCCCCCTGTACCTACCTGCCCTATTGATATTGACCCGGCCTGCCTGACGACGCTTGCTTGTATGTACTGTTATCTGTGGGTGGTTGGTTTGGTTTGGTTGCACTGTATTATGTTTTAGTATTGCACTGCGTTTATGTTTGTATTGTTAGTGTTAATAAATGATATTGTTTATAACATATCTGAGGTCTGCGTTTCCCTGCGTCAGCCACACACCTCTGGTCACACCTGGGAGCCCTGACACCTATTATGTGGGCAAAACCATACTTCAGTTTAGCCAAAGAATACATGAGCATGTCTATTACTCATCGAATGCCAAAATGCTTACCCCTATTAATCGCCATCTGGGGTTATATCATAAATTTGACACCACACATGCTATGTTCATCATGCTGGAGGCGTTTACTAGAGACCCACATGGAGGTAATTGGTATAAAAAAATAATTTGTAAAGAAACCATGTGGATCGAACGTCTCAATGCTGTAAACTCACCTTAATGAAATCACATCATACAAATCTTTTTTATAAATTGGATTGTATAGATATACAAACAATGTTATATGTGATCAGTCCAGGACTTTGTAGTTTCCAAATATTTCATGTTTTATTTACAATGTAGGGCATTGACTATCATGGTAATCTATTTTTACCGTGGTTATTGTAATGTACTAATATGGACTATTATGGTAATGTATATTTACTTTGTTCATCTAAGATACAGGCTTTCCAGACACTTTGCCTTATACTATTAGAAAAGCAATGGGTGTGATAACAAGAAGTGCCATCAAACCTATCGAAGCATATATGGAAAGACCCTCTTTTTGTGTGACTTTAAAGGCACAGACAAAACCAATGACTTCATAGAAAAGATGAAAACGTAATAGACCATATTTTATATATACAAAATGTTCAAAAGAACATATAGGTGCAAAGATATGGCGGTAATACACGATATGACTGTCACAATGAATACATGGATGAGAAAAACACAGAGCGAGTCATGCATGCACTTGACACATTTCGAGACATTGTTGGATTTCATACTAGAAACTACTAGGTTTCTTCATGTTCTCTGCCCCTACGTGGGGCTATGTAAATGAAAAATATGCATTTGAGATTGTAACTCCTTTTTGGAGTTATATGAAGATGCGATAATAATTATATATTCATTATAGGTGTCATGGGTTTTAAGCACTTCTGAAGAAGAGATTACGGTCTGTCTCGAAACGCGTCAAGTGCATGCATGATTCACACTCTGTGTTTTTCTCATCCATGAATTCATTGTGACAGTCATTTGCAATGATTACTTGTAAGTTTGTCCATCTTTTAGATGCATTGCTAGCCCGTGAGGAAGTGACTCCTGTCACGAAACATGTCGGGCTCCACCTAAACAACTCGGACACCCCCCTCACTTTGAAGGAAGTGGACTGTGTCTACCATCTCCACAATATTTCCAATGGAAAATCGTATATTTTCTTTAATTGATGGGGGTAAAATGCTGTGATTTTATGTGCAATGCATATAAAAAAATTATGCAAAATATATATTTTAGATATGGTATGTTAATAAAGTAACAATTGCTTTTACTTTCTGAGTATATGTGCCTAAAAAGTCCATAAGCAATTTTTTAATATAATTGAGCCAGTGGCAGTTAGTCAAGTTCCTAAAATATATCCTTACCTCCAAAAATAATCCATGCACATTCACTACTTAATGCAGAACTACACTACATATACCACACCACAAACCAAAAAAGCTATGTAATTCATTTTTAATATTCAAAGCAAACTCACCCATCCATCCATGTCTCCATCCTCTATTTTGCTGAGAAATCACTTCCCTAGCATTTCTGGTCGTGGTCATCTTGAGTAAGGGCAGATGATACATGTAACATTTACTTCCCGGAGTCCATCTGCCCTTAGCTCAGTCAGGAGGGTGTGTTTAGCTGTGAAAACCCTTCTTGAAGACTCCTGGGATGTATGGCATAATTTGCCTAGGCATGAAAACCAGGAAGTTATTGAAGAAATGTGAAAAAAAGTTTAAAACAAGAAAATATGATATGCGTTCCTATCTATCTCATAATTTTAGCAGCATAAGGATCAAAAATAGTCAATGTTGACTGAAAGAGTGAAGTTCCACTTTAATGCTCGTGTTATTATTTTTCATTAAATAATTTCTTATTCTGTGTTTTCTGTCATGTTGCAACATCCTGCATGAGTGCTCAAACCTCTCCTTTTCCCCTTCAAACCTGTTTGTTTGGAATGATCAGTGCATGTTGGTAGCAGACATATGCATGGGTCTGTGCACACTACAAATCCCATAGTCCATAGTGCCTATTCCATCTCATGAGTCACCAAGACAAGGTGGTTACATTCCTACATACAGTGGGACCATGGACAGCGAATGTAGCCACCATCTGGAAGAAGCTGAGAGTGATAGAAGGTACTTTTCTGAGTTATGAATACATACTGGAATATAGTTCAGTGTCACTTTGAACCTAGAATATAATATTTTGTGAAAGCTGCATTAAAAAAGATGACATGCAAAAGGCTTTAGTCTCAGTTTGCCTTGTATATTGTGTTGCCTGCATGACAATTGGTGGTGCCAGGTGTAACGATTATGAGAAAAATAGAGACATCGTAGCTGTAGCTTGTTAAGGTCTCAGCCATTTTGTTTTTCATGAACAATCATCTTTCTCCCCTCCTCCCTCCTCTTGAAAATGGAATTTGTAGCTGTAACTTGTAACGAACTTCAAAGAAGAGCCTCTTATCTTAAGATGCAGCTCCAGATCTGTCAACTGCTAATTAGGCTTTACAGGATGTCTATTTTTCAGGAACCATGAAAACCACTTTCCTCTGCCCTATCGTAAAACAATAACTCAGTCCAGCCGTCACACATGACCTGTTAGGCCGGGTGTCGGCAACCCGCGGCTCCAGAGCCGCATGCGGCTCTTTTTCATCTTTGCTGCGGCTCTTTTTCATCTTTGCTGCGGCTCCGGAGCACACTGCCCACCAGGTGACAGGCAATAGGGTTTCAGTGGTCGGCAAGCCGCGGATCGCAAGCCACATGCGGCTCTTCTGTGTGCCGGGCGCCCGCTCCCCTCCCTCCTCTCGGGCGGCCGCCTCAAAAGTCAGGACTCTTTTAATCTGGCCCGCGGAGCGTGGAACATTAGCTGTCAGGATGTAGGCGGGGCAGCCAGGATGTAGGCGGGGCAGCGTGACGAACTCCTCTCACAGTCCGCCCTGAAGACCGGAACACAGCGCGGGAACACAGCGAGAGGAACGCGCGGAGCAAAGGTAAGTGAATTGAGACAATATGGGGAATTAATTACTATAGGGGGGATGAATTACTATGGGGGATGAATTATTATATGGAGGATTAATTACTGAATATATGGGGGATGAATTACTATGGGGGATGAATTACTATACTATGGAGGATGAATTACTATATGGGGGATGAATTACTATGGAGGATGAATTACTATATGGAGGATGAATTACTATATGGGGGATGAATTACTATGGGGGATGAATTACTATGGAGGATGAATTACTATAGGGGGGATGAATTACTATGGGGGATGAATTACTATAGGGGGGATGAATTACTATATGGGGGATGAATTACTATGGGGGATGAATTACTATATGGGGGATGAAGCTAACTGCACGATCCTGTATATAGCATTAAGGTAAGAAA